TTTTTTTTTTTTTTGGTACTGGGGATTGAACTCGGGTCCTTGCACTTGCAAGGCAGGCGGCGGAACCACTGGGCTAAATCCCCAGCCCAATCTTCTCTTTTCTGAGGCCGTATCTCTTGAACTCTTATTAACACCCAAATCACTTCTTTTGTTAATGAGCTTGTCAGTTTTTAAAAATTTGTAATTTCTTTTATATGGCAGATGAGTTTTTGTCACATATCTATATCATCTATATCTATATATCAAACATCCCACTCTCTGGCTTTCCTTTTCAAAGTTAAGTGAAAGTTCTTAATTTTAAGGTTGCCAACTCATCAAAACTTCTTTATTCCTAGATTTTTTTACTCTTGTTTTCTTATATTACCTTATGACTTTATCTTTAACTTTATTTTTTATTTATTTTATTTTTTATTTTATTTTTTGTTTTTTGTTTTAATTTTTTTTTTAAAGACACTTTTTTTTTTTTTGGTACGGGGATCGAACTCGGGACCTTGCGCTTGAGAGGCAGGAGGTGGAACCACTGAGCTAAATCCCTGGCCCTATCTTTAACTTTATTGTTTTGCCTTCAGAAGCATTAGAACATAATGCGTCTATAACTGAGTTTTGCATATATTGCATTTAGGGATCAGGATTAGTTTTGTTTTCTATATGCAATGTCACCTTTATTACAAACCATGGACACAGCTCATCTATCAAAAAGCCCATCTTTTGCCCTACCTATCTGCAATGTCACCTTTGTTATAAACCAAGTCACCATATGTATGTGTATGTCTTTATATTGATTAGTTTCTCCAACATCCCACTTAATTACTGTAGTTTGTAGTTGAAAATATATTTCTTATGGTTCTTGGTATCTGGTAGGGTAAGTCCTCCAGCTTTCTTCTTCAGCATTGCCTTTATTATTCTTGGTTCTTTGAATTTTGTATAAGTTTTAGAGTTGCCCTGTCCAATCCCCCCAAAAGGTGTCTCTAGTAGAAGGTCAGGTGTTTTATTTGGGAGATGATCCCAAGAAACATCTGTGGAGGAGTGAGTAGGGTAGTGAGTTAGGGGTGGGGAAGCCAAGAGAAGGTTCACTGACCTACAAGTTACAGCTGTGGACAACTGGAAGTGTTTCCTGCAGAGAACCACTGAAATGCACCGTACATGGTTCCTGGAAGATTTGCTGGAGAGGTGGGGAAGCCACAGCATCATATACCAACCCCTTTTGTTGTTGTTTTAGTGCTGAGGATTGAACGAAGGGCCTCAAACATGTTAGGCAGGTGCTCTACCACTGAGCTACATCTCTCAGCACTTTTTATTTTGAGATAGATTCTTAATCTGTTGCCCAGGTGGCCTCCAACATGAGATTCTCCTGCTTCAGTTTCCTTAAGAGCTGTAGTTACAGGCTACCGACCAACCCTTGTCCCCTATAAATGGAGCGCTGCACCCACCGCTTCTGCGACTGCTCCCTCTGTGCTCTGAGCAAGGCCCCTAGGAACACCAAAAGCCCACGAAGTGAGCGGGTATGCAGAATGAGCGAGTGCCTATTGGACTGGAAGGGCCTTTAAAGAGCCACTTCTTCTCCACTCGGACAGGGAAATCTAGGTCCAGAGAAGGGAAAGCGGGGACCCAGCGCCCCCAAGGGCAGGATGGGCACGCGCGGAGCCCAGGGCCACCTGGAGTCTAAAATCTGGGCCATTCAGAAGCCCCCAGCGAAAAAAAAGGGGTGGAGGGAGAAGGGATGGAGAGGAAGGGAAGCCAAAAGGGTAAGACGTGTCATGCATGTCCAAACTCCCCACAAGGAATGTGCTCATTATGCATAGCCAACGTACTAATAAAATTTTTTTTAAATTCTTAATAAAAATTTTTAAAGTAAAGAAAAAGGAGCTCCTGAGCCAAAGCAAACCAAAGGTACCCGCAACGCCCCAGGTTTTCCGTCGCGGTTAAGCACAAAGCTGGGGAAGCTTCGCTGGGGCACAGGGTGGGGCTTCGTAACTTTATGTTTTCACCCCATAAAACGTCCTTTTGAAATAGGTGAAGGAACAAGAACTCTGCAAAAAGGGATCTTCTCCACACATCGCCCCTGGCTGGGCCTGGGCCCTAGGGGAGTCGCCCAGGTCTCCCGCAATCTCCCACTGAGTCTCTCAAGGGCAGCGCTCAGGCCGCGCCCGCGGGCCCCAGCTCCGCGGCAGCCCCGGAGGTCCCGCGTAGCTCAAGACCCCGGCTTTCGGGAACGCGCCTCGAGGGCGGGGCCGGGCCGCTTGGCATCACGGGCCGGGGCCGGGGCCGCGCCAGCAGGAGGCGTGGCGGCCGGGCGCCTCTGGCCACTAAGCGGACGCACGGGCGCCGGGGGGCGGGGGCAGGACCCCGAGGGGCGCGGCTGGGGCGGGAGCGCGCGGCGGGGCCGGGCGTGGCGCGGCCGGGCAGGGTTGTCCCTGCGGCTGCTGCAGCGGCAGTGGCGGCGGCGGGGCGCGCGGCCCTTCGTCATGTACACCTTCGTGGTGCGCGACGAGAACAGCAGCGTCTACGCGGAGGTGTCCCGGCTGCTCCTCGTCACCGGTCACTGGAAGAGGCTGAGGCGGGACAACCCCAGGTTTAATCTGATGTTGGGGGAGCGGAACCGGCTGCCTTTTGGGAGACTGGGTGAGCCTCGCCCCACTTCCCGCCCCAGCGGCTCCGCCGCTCCTCCCACGGCCCGGGAAAGCGAGCGCTTTTGTTTTTAAGGTCATCAATCTTACCTTCCGCGTGCTTTCTCCGGTCAATCTCAGACGGATCCAGAAAAACCTAAAACCATCGTTTTCAGTACCTTCGGAACTGGAGTCGCGGTGCGACTTCCGCTGCCTCCCCACTAGGACCTGTGTGTCCCTGCTGCGCGGGGGCGTCAGCTGTCGGCCCCAGGGCCCGGCCCAGGCCGGGATGAGGCGGGGTGGCTGGCAGAGTGCGGGACGGGCGCGGCTTCGCAGAGCCGGCCTGGCTGCAGGCTGCGGGCTGGAGGCGTCTTGCAGCTTTGCTTCCCAGAGGATTGCGCCCCTCACCCCTGTGGTGGAAGCGGAGAGAGAGGTGTAGGTGCTGAAACCCTGAGGATTCTGCTACCCGATGCTCACTCAGGTGGATGGGCAGAGGATTTGGAAGACTTGAATTCCAAAAGCTTCAGTGGGCACCCTAGGCCAGGAAAGTCCAGAGCTGTGTTTGAATTTAGACCTTTACTTAGCTTCACCAAAGAACATGTTTTCACAATTGTGCGTGCAAGGAAGGTTTTTCGGGAGGCTGGGTTCTCCTCTTTGCCCTACTCTTCTTGAGGTAGCTACTTCGTTCACTTGGTTGAAGCTGGCGTGGCAGCACCCTGTCCACATTGTCGCCTGTAGAAAGCGACAGGAGAGAGGGCCAGCAGCTCCTTTTCAGATGACGTAATCCAGAAGTTGTCCAGATGGGCTCAACTCACCTCCCATGGACCTGAGCAACATCTCACGCTCTCCTGGTGCAGTCATCAGGGGAGGGAGAGCTTCTCTGGTTAGCCCCACTTCCTTACCAGAACTCACGTGGGGTTGGGTCAGAAGGGGAGAATTGATATTAAGAAAGCGGCATCTCTGCTCTGGAGGATAACCAAGAGCAGTGTTCAATGTCTGGGAGAGCAGAAGGTTTTTAGAAATGGGTGGGGGCAGGGACTGGGAATGGGCCGTTTGGAATTGACTGGCACAGGTGGGCTTACTTGGAGCTTTGGGATGGGGTCTGTGCCATTTGGGGAATGGTTTGAGGAATGAACACGATGAGGCATAACCTTCTGAATTTTTTTCTTTGGAATGGTACTGGGGACAACTTTTCACTATTACACGAGTTTATGATACAGAATGGTGACTCTGTGGAAGGGCCCATTGGAACCCTCAGAAATCTCAGAATATAGATAAGGTGCCTGGAGATTCCATCTTGTTAAGTGTATCCTCAGGAACCCTGGGGTGGAGGAAGATTTGTTCCCCAAAAGAAGAGGAGAAACTGTTTATAGTTGAGAAGTTATTTCCTCCTTGCTTTATTCACTTTCCTTCTCAACTGACTTTCCTCTTCCTAGTTGACAGTGCATGACTGTAAAAACCTTAGGTGGAATCCTGATATTAAAAACTTGTAAATAGAGGCTTTGCCCAGGGGAGGCAGGAATTTGGATTCCAGTGATGCTTAAGACTAGGATGAGAAGCAGAAACCTATAGGGTTCAAATCCCAAACAGGCACCACAAATTCAGCAGATGATCAGCAAACATTTGGTTTTTATGGGAGAGGAAAATACCATCATCAAACCAAAACAGTTATGTGCTTAAAGTGTGTTGCATGAAAGCCAAGGAGAAAGCTCATAGAGTCAGGACAAGGTCAGGAATGGCAACACCCTGGGGATGAGAAGGTAGCCGTCCAGGTGTGAATCAGGGCCTGTCTGCCACATGTAGAAGTAAAAGCCAAGTGAAGCTTGAAACTTTTGATTTGATGGTCTGCTGTTCTCAGATGAATGAGTCCTACCTCTGACATCAACTCAAAAATCCCTTTATTTAGTCTTTCTTTTTGCTACTGAAAATGCAGCATATCTTAACATTTTATTCTTTTTATTTTTTGGTACTGGGGATCGAACTCAGGACCTTGTAGGCAGCGGCACCACTGAGCTAAATCCCTGACCCAGTGTCTTAACATTTTAAACAAAAACTTTATTTTATTTGGTTTTTTTTCCTTTGGTACCAGGGATTGAACTTGGGTCCTTGTGCTTGCGCAGCAGGCGGCGAAACCACTGAGCTAAATCCCTGGCCCAAAAAGTTTATTTTAAATAAAAATGTAGGGCTGGGGATTTAGCTCAGTGGTTTCACCGCCTGCTGCGCAAGCGCAAGGACCCAAGTTTGATCCCCGGTACAAAAAAAAAAAAATGTAGTTTTATTTGTGTCTCTTCTGCTCTACTTGTACATTTTATTACTTTATGCTGCTAGGAATTGAGCCTAGGGCCTTACATATGGTGAGCACATGCTTTACCACATTGAGCTACACACCCAGCCCCTGCTCTAGTTTTATACAGAAGGGGTTGTGTGATAAGAGCTGTTGGAAGTGCATTTCCCTGTAGGATGGCGCACAGAAGAAAGTTCTCAGGACTTCTGACTTTATAGACATGGCCTGCCCACCACCTTCCTTTGCTCCCTAGTGGCCTCCTCTAAACTTGCAGAGTTAAATGTGCCTGAGACCAGCAGCATCATAGTTCTACTGCTTTCTTTAACATCTGCAGAGATCAAGTTGGGGATGTGGAAAGTATGACTCTATTAAAGTAGGCTTATGTACAGAGATTTTAAGTCTGAATGTGTTAAACCAAGAGAAGAGAAGGTTCCAAGAGAGGTGAAACAGGAAATATCCTGGATCCACCCTAACAACAATAAAAACAAAGGTAGCAGCAGTCTTTGATATTAAATCATCCACTGTGGGGGGGATGACAGTTGCTGGAAGGACCCTGAGAGAAAGCAGAGCCTCAGGGACAGAGCAGCACAATTATTCCATTTCTGACAACCAGAGTCCTAAGTGAGCAAGAAGAGCTGGGCCCCACACATCTGTTCTATGTATGCTTGCTGGTGCTGACATCATCGCTCCCCACCTGTCTGGTTCCCTTCTGAGCCTCCTCTCTTCTTGTAGGTCATGAGCCTGGACTGCTGCAGCTGGTGAATTACTACAGGGGGGCTGACAAACTGTGTCGAAAAGCTTCTTTAGTGAAGTAAGTGCTCTTCAAGACCTCCTTGTTCAATGTTTTACATAAATATTTTTAGCATTCACCCCAGAGCCCTTGTGCAAAACTGTGGGATTATTTAAAGGAAAAAAAGACTTATACTATTTTAAAAGTGAACATAGGGCCGGGGCTTTAGCTTAGTGGTTTTGCTGCCTGCTGCGCAAGCGTGAAGACCCGAGTTTGATCCTCGGTACCAAAAAATAAATAAAATAAAAGTCAACATATCGGTGGTGAAGCTTCCCCCGGCTGCTTGGATCTCAGTTTAAAGGTTGCTGTGTTGTGCTTGATAAAGCTTGTCTTGTCTCCTAGGTGAGGCTCCCAAGGAGAGCCTGACTCTGGCTTTCTTGCAAAAGTGACTTGGGGGAGAATTCTCCAGGTAAACCTATCTGGAGGATAGAGAAGCAGGGCAGGGCAGGAGCCAAGCAAAGAGGTGGTTCAGCTGAAGTCTCACCCAGGAAACTCCAGAGTGAATGATATTCAGCGTTGTCACATCCGGAAGCAAAGTACCTAGGCTCCTATGCTCAAGTATAGTTAGCCATTGGCCACGGGAAAGGTGTAGCATACAGGTTTCCAAGCATTTCTAGATGGGAACTGGTCCTTGGAGAAGGCTACACATAAGCCCTTGGCAGCCAACTCTTCCAGCAGCTCAGAAAGGATATCTGAGCAGGGTGTAACAGGATCTGCCTCATCACCCATCTCTGAGGAGTTGGATTATGGCCAAATATTACCAGGATAGTATTATAAAGTGAAAGGAAACAGCATTATGCAGTGATTAAGACCAGGGCCAGCAGCTTGCATTTTAGCCTCAGCCCTTCATCTCATTAGTCCAAACAAATCGCCTCATCTTGCTAAGTCTCCATACCCTCCTCAGAAGGCAGTTGTGGAGACTAAATAAGGTGTCACTTATGACATGTATGTATCCCTGAGGCCTGGTACATTATACATATTTGACTCTGAGCTGTTAGTTTTCTTCCTTGTAAAATGGTGATAATAACTACTTCAGGGTTGTGAGAATTATTTCAGCTCAAATTAATGCCTGTCTCATAGTTCACAACGTATAAGCGAAGGTTCTTTTTACTGTGATTATGGTTGTCATTGCTATTATTGTTGTCATTTCAACAGGGAAACCTTGGGTCTGGCATCTGCAATCAGGGCTGTAGTAGATCTCTGGGATTCTTCCCATGTACCTAGTAAGCATTAATGTGTAGCCAAACAGATCAGTTAGGTAGAAGATGCTAGAAAATATGACTCAATGCAAAATACTCCTTTTCCCATTAGTGTTTCTTTCTGAGCACTACTTAGCTATAGGTTGAGTACACACAGGAACATTTCCATCTTTTTCAGACATGCTGGCCCTGATAATTTACATACTCATTCCTATGATGGGTTTTCATGATTGAGCAGCAACTCCTAAAGTGAGGCTTCCTGAAGTCTATTACATGCTTTTGTGTTTATATTTCATTAGAATCAGGAGTAGAAGTAGGATGTGATTGTTTACTCAGATTATTCATTTAATAATTTTATAAACTGATCTTTTCTGGGTTTTTTTCTCTAAAGACAAAAGTACAATTTTGCTTTTATAAACAAGAAGCAGAGGATGGTGTAAAAATAATGCTGTACATATTTGTATATTTAGCAGTTATAAGGAGGCAGAGTGAGTACTAGGCTGGAATCATGAACAGGTCTCAGTAGGGATCTGCAGCTCTGGACAGCACCACTCTGAATCTAGTCCCCATCTGTAAGATGGGGATAGGTGTGGTGACAGTACTTGTTCTTTTGACCTTGGTGGCATGTGATATGTGATGACACTTTGTAAATAGTGACATGACTTATGCAGGCTGAGACTCATCCCCATCATCAACAGCTTCCTTCACTCTCTAAGTGTCCTGTGAGGGGCTGGAGTAAATAATCCTAGGAGACGATGAACTTCCCTTTGTCAGTTTGTCTCTCTCCCATGATTTAGTACGGCTTGCAGGAGCCAAAAGAGGAAGGAAATGTAACCACCCTCATTTTATAGGGCAGAATGCCAGCTCAGAGAAGTCAGCTGTGCTGTCCAGGACTACAGCTGTTTATGTTGAACCAGGACAGTTTGAATCTGTACCCATGATACCCATGGGCAGTGTGACTTTGCATCCCTCCCAGGGCTTCCCAGAGCCTTGGTGGGGTTCTGTGCTGGGTTCTGTGCAACCTGCTCCTTACTCCTGACCCTTCAGGGAATTTCCAAAGTTTATCAGGCCCAAGGCTCCAGCCTCAGAGCCTGAGGCCCTTTCTTCTCCTGGCAGGTTGGAGGCTTTTGTTTCTTCTTCTGAGCATTACTCAGTAATAGATATGAGTGAACCTCAGATTATGATTGCTTTCCCATTGAGCTGATGTGAAGATGGAACAGACACAGGAGTCCCTGAAGGGCCTGGTCTTGATTCTGGGCAGGAAGCGAGGGCTTCCAGATGAAGGTCATCTTACAGACGAGTGCTGTCCAACAAATAGAACGCAAGCTACGCAGGCCTTTTTAAACTTCCTAGTAAAATAAGTACTAAGAAACAGGTGCAATTAGGTTAATGATCTATTTTATTAAATTATGAAAATCCAGAATACTGGGCTAGGGGTGTAGCTCAGTGGCAGAGCACTTGCCTAGCATGGGTGAGCACCTGGGTTTAATCCCCAGCACCGTAAAAAACAAAGCAAAACAAAACAAAAAACCCAAGCTAAAATATTGTCGTTTTGACATGTTATTAATACAAAAAAAAGATATTTGACATTTTTTTAAAATTTTGAGTCTTTAAAATCTGATGTGTATTTTACATTTTTAGCACATCTTTATTCAGGCAATAAATTTTCACTGAAAACCTTTGGCCTAAATTTAGATTTCATAAGTATTTGTGATTGAAAAAGTAGATTTATATACCTAAGTTGTTCTAACATACTTAAAAGTTTTTCAGTCACTAAATTGAGTTCCAAAGTCATTTTCCTTTAATATTCATACATATATTGACAAAACTAATTTATCTTTCTTAGAAGAAATGATTTGACTTTACAGTAAGAGCATACCATTTGTAGAACCCCGTCTGTCCATTAAGTAAATTCACCTACTCTTGTGCCAAATCAGTTTTTTTTTTTCTTTTGGTACCGGGGATTGAACTCCAGTCCTTGCGCTTGCACAGCAGGTGGCGAAACCACTGAGCTAAATTCCCGGCCCACAATGCTGTCTTATTACAGTTAAAATTTTCTACATCCCACAATGCAGTCTTATTACAATTAAAATTGTCTGCATCTGGGCCAGGGATTTAGCTCAGTGGTTTCGCCACCTGCTGCGCAAGTGCAAGGACCTGAGTTTGATCCCCGGTACCAAAAAAAAAACTGTCTACATCTTTTCATGACACACACACACACACACACACATATGCAATCATTATTATTGTATTTTGAGTTGGGACATAAAATTATCATTCTTGTATAGGTAGATCATAAACAATTAATTAAGTCTTCCCTGTAAATTTAGCAAGTATATACTGAACCATTTCAACAACTATATCCATGATGCTTTTTACAAAGTCTGCTTCAGAAAACTATGAAAATAAATGTTTTCAATATGTATCATACAGTGCAAGGAGGCAAATGTTTCCAATATGTATCGTACAGTAGAATGAAGTAAAAAAGGAGAGTCCATTAAAATCCCAGTAAATCCATATTTTAGCTCAGTATAGTTGAAATATTTTAACTCAGTATAGTTGAAGTCCTGTCTGTCATAATAGAAAGTAACTTTTCACAGGTAGATGAAATTCTTTGACAGATGTGAAATATTCAAAAACACCTGCACCATGAGTTTGATACTTTTTAGGCTATAGTTTGACAATATTCTTTTATATAAGCATGCCCAAAGTAGAAATAGAGTGATATCTCTTATGTCACAACTCATCTAAAGCTAAGGAAAAATATTTATTATTTTTTATATTTTGAATCAGTCTTTGATATTGTTAGATACAAAGGGTTTGTATTCTGTGGCCCATTGTGGCTGAACTGAAGATTGTTCATTTTTTTGTTTTTTGAGAGTACAAATATCTTTTTTTGTTTTTACAAATATCTTTAACTCATTGTTTTAAAATTATTTTTCACTGTATTTTCATCTAACGTGGGCATTAGTAATAAAGAGTACTAAGATTCACGTTGTAAGACCGAGGGCCTTACCAAACGCTCCGAGGAGCTGGCTACAGCGGCGATCACCCGGGAAGGAACACACCGGACAAGTGGAAGGAAAAAAACAGACCTTTATTAGTCTGGCCAGACGGCACTCCCAAAGCAAAGTAGCTGAGAGAGGCAACTGGCTCAGAGTCCGAGGCTGTTTTTATAGGGGGTTGAAGGGGGGTTACATGTAGGTTTACGGGAAGAAAGGAACAAGGGTTTGGTTCATTGTCACATGTTGACGGTCAGCATAACCGCAGTGAGGACACTGTGACCATGATCAGTAGATTTAGTTACGGTTTGTTCCACTGATAGTAGTTCCGGGAATTTTTTCTGTTCTCCGGACAAACAAGGGGTTGAATGCTTTGCTAAGGAGGTTACAGATCTTATCCACTATTTTAAGACTAGCAAACACATTTTAGCCATTAGACATAACAAAGTCTGAGGGAATACATAAGTTTTGAATCATACAATCCCACATTCCCCACTGATTTTCTGTAATCTAAGTAATCTTAGGCATAAATGTAGGCATCCATTGTATACAACAACATGACAACAATAAACAAATACATATGAGTATAATGGCAATAAACAATTGTTTTAACCATTGTAGGTTGGGCAGCCATGAGGTTAACCATTTAAACAGGTCTCCGCCATCTTCGTTGTGTACCCTATTTGCCAGGTCCTCTAATTGTTTTATTTTTTCTTTGATTTTTTTTCCATTATCGGTCAAATTGAAACAACACATGTTTTTTATTTTTTCACAACCTTGGTGGTGGAAGAGCAACAGGTAATCTATTGTTGCTCTGTTA